CCCCTCCCAGCTGCAAGGCAGACGCATCCTGGGAGGGATGGGAGCTCGCTCCCTCCCTGGAAAGAGACACAGGAAGATCACAGGCTGCTTAACTGGTAACAGGCCTTTACTTAAAGGTTTTCCCCAGAACACAGTACAAATGAAAAAATAAACCTACGTTATCTTAGAATGTTCTCAATTTAATTAAATTCATTACACGGAGGACACAAACGGGACATCAATTTTGTGGTACAGGCCTTTTTTTAAGAAGTAGTGCAAACACACAGATGTTGTTTAGCAAGCGCTGCTGCTTGTTACCGCAGTGTCTGTGTGGGCGTATACTGAGATGTGGAGTTTTTCTAAACAAGAAAAATGTATCTGGGAACAACAGGCTGCAGGGAAAGGTGCTGGGGAGAGCCAGCACTCTTTTCACAACAGCAAGTCTTTATCTTTGCCAGAGGTACAACACGTTCCTGCCACCTTCATGTATCTTCTCAGACTGATCCTCAGATGTGGTTATGTCTTCTAGGAGAAGTCGGAGACTCTGGAGGCAATTGCCGAGTTCAGTGGGCTGTATCTTCTTGAAGCACCTGCTCAGCGTGGCAGGCATGGGGTGTCCCCATGGATGCGTGGGCAGCAAGTGCACATTACCAGGGTAAAACAGCACAGAAAAACAGGACTGCAATCACAACAGCTGCCTTAATTAATCATAATAAGGTGCAGAGAGCAAGTTGATGGGACGCGTAACCCAGCTTGTGGCAGCCGACCGTTCTGCTGGCCAGATACTACCACGTAGGCACAAGCAGGGTCTCGCTCATTTTCAAAGGAGCAAGGAAAATTCCAGCCATTGTGGACAGATAACCGAAGGAGGATTTCCAGAGCAGCAAAGCTGCTGTCCGAAGGTCATCTGTGCTGCCGGAGCTGTTCCAAACACAGTTTATCACCCTCATATAATTTGTGGGTCTCATTCGTGCTCTTGATAGAACAGCCTCGCAGTACGTCCTTTTCAAGGATCCTGACGCTGCTTGCCGATGTCCAGATGGCCAAAGAGCATGCACAGGACTCGAGGAGTTCCTTGCTCAGCTTATGGACAAAGACAGAATGGAGAGCGGTGCCCTGGCTCTTTCTTCAATCGCTTAATCGTGGCATCTTCCAAAATCGTCAGCCTTCACTGAAGGCCTCTAGTGAGAGCATTTTGCTTTTTCTTCCAGGACTGGAAGATGAGGCTCAGAACAGGCAGCGTGTGAGCAGGCAAAAGCAAGCTACCCCAACGGGTTTTGAGACACTCTGTTTCCGCTCCATTTCCACTTCCATTTGTCCAACAGCCACTTTTTCTCTGCAAGGACAGCTTCTCAGTAGCAGATACAATCTATGTTGGACACAGAAGGATGGAGCAGACACTAGCAAGCTACATCATGGTGCGTGAGTCTGATGGAAACCGTAATAAATATGTATCACAGGTAGAAAGTTCATAGCTGTCTTCATGGAAACACCCGCCCTTCAGAAGAAACAAGCACTCTGGGGGGCTGCTCCAAATGATCTCTGTAATTTGCGTAGCATCTTTGTTTAGGCTAACTTGGCTCGATAATACATCTCAGCAGAGAAGGGACGCTGAGATTTCTGGAGAGAGAGCCGAAGAAAAGGCTGATGTGCCGTGCGTGTCAGTGAAGAAGAGTTACTGAGAGTAAATGAGAAGAGGCACTTAAACTGGAAAGACTTTCAGGAGTAAATACAAAGGGTGTACCCCTGGCTGCCAATACAGTATGTGTGGTTTCACACTGCAGAGCACTACAATGTGCTGAACGGCACTATACAGTTGCGAGCCTCATGGGTCTCGTGCTGTATTTAAATACCTACCAAAGTAAGAAATCTGCTCATTCCAGGGATAACTGGTGCCAAAACTTCTGGCTGAAAAGCTGAGGGATCTAGTAGATGAAACCTGACCTACAGGTACACTTGTGCTAGTGAGACTTCAGCAGGTTCCTGAGGAACAGCAACCAATGTCGCTGAAGAAAAAAGCAGTGAACAGATAAACCCTTCTAGTCCAGGCATTGAAAGACAGCTGCGCTCAACACCTCTCCTATCAGGTGTGCAACAATGACTGCTAAAGATTACCAAGGACCTCTTCTCTCATATTGCACTTCATAGTAAAACCACTGTAAGATAGAAGAATTGTCATCTGCTACGGGACACCAATGACATTCAGAGAACCCAAGTTCACACCCATGGCAGGTAAATGCTCCGCTCCTCCAAAAAACGGGTTTCTGAATTAGGACTCCACATTAACTGCCGCATCTGTAGAAAAGGAAAGTAATGGCACCGCCTGGCCAGTATCTCATCTGCACTGCAACATAACTACTGTAGCTGAGTGCTTTGAGCTAGTTCTTCAACCCATACCTCAAATCTGCACTTCCTAAAAAGTGTCAGAAGAGCAGTTCTTGGTAAATTGCTATGTAGACTTAGACTTAAGTTAAAGCAGTAAAACATTCTTCTCCCCTTCTCCTGCACCAAAACTCCCCACACACTCAAAGCCCCAGCCACAACCTGTGCAGTTACAGCTACACAGAGTGTGCTTGCACTGCAATAGCTTATTCTTCTATAGGAAGGAAAATAAATTGTAATATTGTGGTATCTTATGTCCACTAACTATTTCAGTTAAGAAGAATTAAAAACTTGACAAATGCATGTTGTAAACACCATGGCTATACTGAGCAAGAAGTCACAGATACAAAGAGATCATTAGACTGAAAGTTACCTTACAGATCTGCTTTTTATCACAAACTGCCACACTGACAACAATTTTCATTTAATAATGGAAGCTGCATACAGATCTCAGTAGGATTTTGGTAGGAATATTCAAACCCATTACCGGAACTTAAACTCTGCTCTTTTTTTTGTTGTCAACAAAAATTACATGCTTTTCGGTGCGGCCAGATCTGAACAATTCAGTAAAACTGCTTTTAGCAAAACATTTAGTTCTTAGAAGCAATTGAGCGAGGGAGAATTCACAGTATTCAGAAACGCCACAAAGTGCCACACCGCACCCTGCTGAGCCCAAGACCCTTAAAAGGAATGAAACTACCTGAAAAGGGAAGAAACTACCCGACAGGAACTCCCTTCTGTGATTCCAGGCAGTAACGGTAACGCTGCTCATTTTAGCATGAGTAAAGTGCATCACCAGCAATTTAACAGCCCTCTAGTTAAGGGAGCAAGAAGTCAGCTTTTCCACGTGGATTGATTCCCATGGACTTACAGACAGCGTGCCAAACACCAGACAGTTACCCTCTGATTTTTAAAACACAACTGTAAATAACAGCTAACAATAACAGTCTAAATTATAGCCAACATAGAAATAATCACAATACTATGCAAAAAATATACTTCTGACTTTTGGCAGTGATAGGCAGCAATTGCATATAGCACCTACGCTGGTATCTTTGCAGAGAAACAACAACTTTGACACCGCAGTTTGCTGGGACCTTCTGCTGGGGAGGTTCTGGGGCCTTCCACTGCGTGCCTGACCTGCTAGGGCTGGACCAGCACAAGGAGTGTGGAAAACAAAGGGGAAACAGCCTAGAGAAGCACCGAGGTATGAGCACTATCTTCTCTTCTTTTTCTGTCTTCAGGTGTACTTCCTAGATCAGAGAGGGAATTATAGAGAGGATGCCAAAACAGGGTTTATTCTACACACTGTACTAAATTCAAATGCCCGTACACCTGAAAGGTGAAGACACTATTGTTACTGCTGCACGATGCAGGCACTCCAAAGCCCTGGAGAACAGGAAGGCTGAGGAAGACCTGAGCACACTCTAGGATATGATCTCAGAAAAGGGTTAGACATTTTGAAACTGCGAGTTCTAACTGAATTTTAACAGCCAGTAGAGCAACGTGCATAGCTCTGAAGGGCAACGTAAATGCTGCAAACAGACTGAAGTGTTAAATCACAGGGAAAGAAAATCAACGGAGAAAATTAAAAAAACTAACATCAAGCACAGCCCACAGGCTAACCAGCTGCAGTCGGTGCTTTACAGGAATTATTTTTTTTTCCCTCAAAGACCCATATCCTGTCTTGAAAGCCACATCGCACTCTAAAGTGAGCATCTTCTATCTAGACTGGCCTGATGAGATGAGGCAGGTAGAAGTTGCAATGGTGCTGTAAGCACAGAGCTATGAGAACATCCCAAAACATGCACAGAGCTGTTAGAAATTAATCCAGCTGGCAGACCAGATTCTGAGCTAACATTGGACAGGCTTCATCAAAGCTATGCAGGATGACACAGAACTGTATTTAAATGAAAAAAAGAATCAATAGAAATTAAAAGATCCAATAACAAAGCAAAGTGTAACACCCTATTCTTTTGCCATCTGATATGTGACCTGAGATAGCTATGGATTAAAAGTTTGGGAGGATGTATTTCAAGTCTGGGAGCAAGAGGATCTTCACCTTATCTAACAAACGTACATTAAACAAAGAAAAATAATTCCGCAAACAGGTTATTTACTTCTCACTGCCCTCAGGAGAACCGATCCTTGGAGAAATGGCTTCTCTAAATTGCAAACACCTTGGTCTACCCTTCCCTCCCACCCTCTTTCCCACCCCCGCATATATATATATTTCAGATATAGACTTGTCCCTTAGAAGGCATTGCACAGGGTTTGACTTACTGGAGAACAACACTCCAACAGCCAAAGTTAATACTCTTTCCAAAATTTGTTTTCTGCGAGGACCAGTTGTCAGAATAGAGAATCCTAGTGACACCACTGAGCTGCAATTAGAAGATTTAGACAATTACAAAGCTAGGGCATAGATACCAACGTGCCGGTCACACCCTGCTCCATACAGGCTTTAATTTAAATGGACATCGAAAAGTGGATGCTGCTTCGTTTAAAGCAGAGGATTCCTCAGTGTTCTTGGTCAGATTTGAATCTTAATTCTCTTTGGTATGCACCGGCTGAGCTCTGAAGTTAGGGTTTGTGTGAGTGCAAGAAAACCTGTGTGCTATCTTCTGGTGGAGAAGGCCTGAACTGGCACAACTACCCCATAAAGATCCTTATCACCATCTCAATCTCTTTCCTGCACACTGGGCAAGGTGATCTCTTTCTCTTCAGCATCTTTGCACACTTGAAACAGGCCACAAGGTGAGCAGTCCTTCCATGGACAATATTCCCATCCCGTGGTCTGTGATGGCATAAGAAGCAAGGATTCAGCAACTTTTTTATACTCTCTAATGACTGTATTTCTTCCTCCTTTTTATGCTCAGTGAAATGCAACAGAGACTCCTTGCTTTCACATTCTCGTGCCAAATCCAAAGACTCAATAGAGCTGCAGGGATCTACACGTGATTTGTTTTCTACCATGTACAGGTCTTTGGGTTGGCCAACTGGAGCAGAAATAGTCCTTCGGCAGTCCGGGACATCTATCCCTTCATCATCATTTTTGTTTTGCATAGCGTCAATGTCAGACAGAGAAAGAGAATGAGCCAGTTTGGGACAATCTGAGTACCAGTCCTTCCGTAAGGCCCAGCAGCGGTAACAGTACCGTTTGCCTGGAGAGTTAAATTTCTTGCATTTGGTACATTGCCAGCAGTCCTGAGGAATGATTGAGGCAGACAAAAACAGCAGCAAGTTAGTGTATTCTTGCGTACGACTCGTTTCCTCTACATAGGAAAAGCAGCAAAGAAGCTTCATCAAAAAAGGACATTTATTACCGAGTATAAGCTTGTGAATGCATGATTGCTAGTTTGATTATCAGCACCTCAGAAAGCCTAAGGAGAATTTGACTACCCCTGTGCATTCTACAGATGCAGATCTCTTCTTAAGCATTAAAATCTGTCCTTCCTTCCTCCCAGCCTCTGGAAGAATACAGTGTTCTCAAGCTGTGCAGTTTATTGAATTTTCAGTATCTCACTCTAAATTCAAGGGTAGAGCTCCTGGAATCAGTCAGGAATATATTTCCCAGACTCACTAATCACTTAGCATCTGTTGAATATGCACAACTAATAGCAGCTTACTTGATTACCCCACATAGCAAGAGCAAGAGCTGCCCAAGTTCAGAGCTATGATTCAGCTGTCCAAGGCCAGGGACATCCTAATTTGTCAAACATGCACAGTCTAGAAAATTATGCTAAAAAAAATTGATGCCATCAGCTGCAAAGAGTATCATGATACACTTTCGCTGACTTACAACAAAACCTCAAAAGGCAGCCTGAAGGACTGGGAGAAAAAAAGGACAGATGAAGGAACACAAATTTGATGTCCTTCAGTATCTGTCATGAGGGAATTCAGAAGAGGAAAGGGGTAGTGAGGAGGGGTGACAACCCAGTAATTACTGCTTATTCTCTCTTTCCACCTTGTTTTTTCATTTAAACAGGGAAAAGCTGTAGTCTGTCCTTAGAGAGGCACTGCAAGGGCAAAGGCATTACACCAGCAGGTACACAGGCTCTCCTCCTGACAAAGGCCATGTAAGTATCTCAGAAAAATGGGGTGACATGGGAATTGGATTCTCTTCTTATCCCAGAGACTACCACAAAACAACTGACAGCTTCAGAGCTGGCCTGGACACCCAGGGTTCACTGGAACCCTGATCCCGACACAGGAATTTCCACTAACAAGTTTTTTTTGAGTATGAGCACTTCACTGATTACAAAGTGCCAACTTTAGATTTCCGAATCTCTGCCAAGGACTATACTCCAGATTTCCTTTCAGAGGACAATACAGAATTAACCTTATTAAAACATGCATGGATATTGTTAATGCTAACTTCATACAGCATTAGACCGACCATGCTGGAAACCGAGGGCCTAATCTTCATTCACTTCCTGGGTGTGTGAAGGGACAAGTTAAATCATGAGTAAAAAGCCAGTGGCTGCCCATGCTGGCGCTACATTACCCTGCACAAAAGGGAAGAACAATGTAGAAACAAGGACCCTAATCTCCTAGTCAAAATACCCTCCTAGCTAGAGCACGTGTAAGTTCTCTCACGTTGCCACAGAAAGCGGACGAAATCACGTAAGTTCCAGGACTGCTCTGTGGCCAGGAGAGACACTTGGTGTCTTTGGACTGGGTGGGTCAGAGCATTCATGGGCTGCCAGTGCTCAGTGCCCATCCAGTTAGAATTTAACAGAGCCCTATCCAAAACAAACCAGACCTGGTCAAGCCAACTTCTTTGTTGGCTTTTTATGCTCAGTGAAATGCAACAGAGACTCCTTGCTTTCACATTCTCGTGCCAAATCCAAAGACTCAATAGAGCTGCAGGGATCTACACGTGATTTGTTTTCTACCATGTACAGGTCTTTGGGTTGGCCAACTGGAGCAGAAATAGTCCTTCGGCAGAACCCACATGTTCCTTCATGTAGGTTACAAAAAAGCTTTTTTGGCTTGATTTTTTGCTTTATTTGGCCTTTGAAACCCATACAAGAATCCGCTTCTCCTACCACAACCAGTAGTAGCTGTAGGATGAGTTTTTCCGACTGCAGCACACTCCAAGCAAGGAACGCTGACCTAAAGTATGCCTACCTCAGAAGTGGCTTCTGTATCTGTGTCATCACTTAAGCACTGAGAATCCTCAAAGTCATGCAAGCATGCATCCTCGGTCACCTGGAA